ACACCCACACCCACACCCACACCCACAGCCCCCACACCCACACCCACACCAACACCCACACCCACACCCACACCCACACCCACACCCACCCATCATTCAACATTTGATGAGTGGAATTAATCCTGATTTTAAAAAAGAAATTTCTCGACATGAATCCTGTATGAACGTATTAAATGAATTTTTAAAATATGCCAAAATCGAACAAGACTTGTATGATACTTTTGAAAAATCTAATCAATTATCAATCGAACATAAACAACATAATATTAATATTAATTATCAGCAAGTTCCTTCATTTACAGCTATGATTGATCAACCGAAGCAATATAATAATTATAAAAAAAGAAATGATTATTCATATCATTTATCTAGCCAGAGCTCTGTCTTTCAACAGAACTCGATTCATCAAGCTGAATATAGATCAACATTTATATCTAGAACACCAATACAAATTAATTCACAACAAAAAACATTTAATAAAAAACATATTAATATTCAATTTACATCCCAACAACAATTTAATAATTGCAAAATTTGTGGTCGAACAAATCATTGAACAATCGATTGTTTCCATAAATGCACAACCGAATGTTTTAATTGCGGTCGAAACCATCATGTCCGAAATTGTACAATGCCTCAAAATTTTCAATAACTGGGTCACATGATGGCAGTGTTCCCAGTAAATTTATGAAGCCATCAACAATAACATCATCTCCAATTTACATCAAGATTCGTGTTAATGATCAACCAACGGAAGCAATTGTTGATACCGGTTCCGCCATCTCAATCATTCATTTAAATTTTCTTAAAACTATTCATCACAAAAATTTTATTTATAACAATTATACATGTCAAACAGCAAATTCAACACCACTTAATATAATCGGTCAAATTAAATTAGAAATAAAAATTAAATCAATAACCACTTATGTCGTTGCTCATGTTGCAACAAATTTAATTACATCAATAGTATTAGGAAATGATTGGATTAATTCGAATCATGTTCACCTTTATGGTGACCAGAAACAATTAACTATACCTAATCAACATGATCAATTAATTTTAATTCCATATGTGCAACCAACATGCATTAATTATCCAGCATTATTAGTTCAACAAATTACTCTTCCACCATATTCACAAAAATTAGTTGATATTACATGTCAAGTTACTAATGCTAATAATCTTATATTTGAACCNGCAAATTAATTCAATCAGCAGGATTATGGTTTGATAATAATGAGCAATATTTTAAAAAATGGTCAGATTTCGAAACTGCATTCCGAAATCGTTATTTTTCAACAACAATGATCCATAAAAAATTTGATAAATTACAACAACGAAAACAATTACATGATGAACCAATTACATCTTATTTCGATGATGTTATTAATTTATGTCGAGAAATTGATTCAAACATGTCTGACTCAATTACTATTCAATATTTAATGAGTGGACTTAATCCTGATTTTAAGAAAGAACTTTCTCGACGTGAATCATGTATGAATACATTAAATGAATTTTTAAAATATGCTAACATTGAACAAGATTTATATGATACATTTGAAAAATCTCGACAATTATCTATTGAATCGAAACCCACTTATTTAACACCTCAATATATACCAACTTCTTCATTTACAACTATGATTAACAAACCGAAACAACGACATTACTATTCAAAACCAAATGATAATTCGCATCACTTATCATACCAGAGCTCCGTCCTTCAGCAGAACTCGATTCATCAACCTAATATTCAACCAAAAATTATATTGAATAGAGCAACTCGAAATAATTCAAAACAAGTTACATTTAAAAATAACCAAATTAATCATCAATCATCATTACAAAATATATTTAATAATTGTAAAAATTTGTGGTCGGAAAAATCATCGAACCGTTGATTGTTTTTACAAACGTACAACCGGATGTTATAAATGTGGTCAAAACCACTATGTTCGTGATTGTACGACGCCTCAAAATTTTCAATAACTGGGGCACGCGATGGCGGTGTTCCCTGTAAATTTATTAAGCCATCAACAACAACATCTTCTCTAGTTTACATCAAGATTCGTGTGAATAATCAACCAACTGAAGCAATTGTTGATACAGGATCCGCCATCTCAATCATAAAATTAAATTTTCTTAAAACCATTCATCATAAAAATTTTATTTATAAAAACCATACATGTCAAACAGCAAATTCAACACCTCTTAATATTATTGGTCAAATTAAATTAGAAATAAAAATTAAATCTATAACAACTTATGTTACTGCTTATGTTGCAATAAATTTAATTACATCAATTCTTTTAGGCAATGATTGAATAAATTCAAATCATGTTCACCTTTTTGGTGATCAGAAACAATTAACTACTCCTGATTAACATGGTCCATTAATTTCAATTCCGTATGTGGAACCTACTTATATTAACTATCCAGCTCTATTAATTCATCAAATTACTCTTCCACCTCATTCGCAAGCACTAGTTGATATTACATATCAAGTTAATAATGCTAATAATTTGATTTTTGAACCTTATGAACGTTATATATCAAAATTCATTTTCATACCACATACATTATTGAATGTTAATAAAAATAAAGCAAGAATATTATTAATAAACGCACAAAATCGACAACAAACATTATCAAAAAATACACGAATCGGTACGCTTTCTCGTGACACACCTTTCTCAATATATACAACATCGCAAGTTCCAACAAAATATAATTCGTTCTTAAATGAAAACCATCAATTATTATCTCAAAATTCGAAAAAATTAAACAACAGAGCTGTCTTAAATACAAAAGACAACTCGAATTCAGCCAAATTAAACACTTATTGTCACCATTGCAATGAATATTTTTTATCTGGCAATGATTTGCAAAAACATTTACGAGCCGAATGCTATTCCGAACAGATTCGAAAACAAATACTCGAATCGACTAAACATATAGAAAATCGAAAACATCAATTAGCAATTCAAGATATTTTATGGCGAAATAAAATATTATTTGATCCTACACCA